TATATATATATTTTGTGTGTGCGCGCGCGTGTGTGTATGTGTGTACAAAAACGCTTTTACAATTTGATTCGGTCTTAATAATGAATTGTATGTTGCGATAGAACGAGCTCTATTGTTTGCGGTGTCACGATAAAATGGGAATCCCAATTTGTGGCGCCTGTCGACGTCCCATCGAAGAACGCGTGGTAACGGCACTTGGCAAACATTGGCATGTGGAGCATTTTGTATGTGCTAAATGCGAAAAACCTTTCCTGGGTCATCGCCATTACGAGAAAAAAGGTCTTGCTTATTGCGAGACTCATTATCATCAATTGTTTGGGAATCTTTGCTTTGTCTGTAATCAGGTTATCTCTGGAGATGGTATGTACCTGATATATGGCAGATATAAATATCACAAGTTAATTTATAAATTGCGTACAATTCATAAAAATTGTTTTTAAATAACAAGCGATGAAAAAGGTTAAAGACATTTTCCTTCTTCAAAGTCAAGGTTACTCGGAGGTCATTCGGGACCGATTGTAAAGAGAAAGGTTTATCTTTTTTTATTACAATACTTGTTTTTCTTTCTAGTTTTTACGGCGTTGAATAAGGCATGGTGCGTTCATCACTTTGCATGTGCATTCTGTGACCAGAAGATGAATCAGAAGACCAAGTTCTTCGAGTTTGATCTAAAGCCCGCGTGCAAGAAGTGCTATGATAAGTTTCCGCAAGAGTTGAAAAAGCGGATGCGACGTATGTACGATCTGAATCCTAAGAGGATTCCACCAGCATAAACACAGATCTCGGATTGGGCTCTTCTATGTGACTCTCTCCAGATTTAATCAATACTCATTGATTTGCTTGTAGTGCCTTATTTGTCTTAATATTAATATAAGAAACTTCATTTAACTATTTGTCATATTGTAAGCTACGTAGAGCCTACCAAAATTACTTATTTATCAGTTGCAATACTTTGACATAATTGCTATAATTATTTTTTAATAAAAGGTATGAGTGTATCTTTAACTTAAAATATCTTTTCTAATTTGGCATCTACGTATAGGAATGTGCAATAGTTCTTCTATATGTATACATTTTGTGTATGTGAAGCGTAACATTACTTTACACACGACAC